TCTTGTAACTGCCTTCCCCTGTTTCTACTGCCATCCCTCCAATTTCTCTTTTTCAGTCTGCTTTGTTGGACCACCACCCCCACTCTGCCTTTTAACTGTGAATATAAATCAAGATTTTGAGTTGGGATGGCTTCTATTTTCTCCCTATACTCAGTCTCAGGGATTTCATCAGCAACCACGGGATCAGTTATCATCCCTATAAGATGACTTCCAGATCTACACTTCAGCCTCTCTCCTGAGCCCCAGTTCCCTTCACCAAATGACGACTGGGTATTTAAAACACGTCCAAAACAGAAGTCATTATCTCTTCCTCCAAGCCCACCCTTCTTCTGAGCATCCCTATCACTGTCTCCTGGTTCTCTTTCTACCTATCGGACTCCTTCTTTGTCTCTTCCGCTGGATCCTCCTCCTGATCCCGTCCTCCAACCCTGGGTATCCCTAAGGGCTCTGTCCTGGGCCTTCTCTTCACCTGGTGCTTTCATCAGCTCCCATGGATTTAATTACTATCTCTATGGTGATAATTCTCAAATCTACCTTCCTGCCCCAGACTCTCTGATCTCCAATCCTGTATCTTCAACTGCTTTTCAGACATCCTGAACTGCATGTGCAGTAGATATATGAAACTAGATGTCCAAAACAGAACTCATTATCTTTCCCTCTAAACCCTTTCCACCTGTTGAAGACACCACTATCTTCCAACACCAACCTTCCAGCCCCTCAGGCTTGAAACCTAGGTGTCACCCTTGACTCCTCACTCCCCTCACCCCTCCATATCCCAGCTGTTGACAAGGCATGTCAATTTCACCTTTGCAGCATCTCCTGAATGAGCCCCCTTCTCTCCTCTGAAACTGCCCCTAGCCCGGGCCTGGTGCTGGCCCACATCACCTCAAACGGGGACCACTGCTACAGCCTGCCGGCAGGTCTGCCTTCCCCAAGCCCGTTCTCCACTGGCTACCAAAGTGATTTTCCTAAATCAAAGGCCTGACCATGTCACCCCCTCTCTCCATTTAATAAAGTCCAGCGGCTCCCTATGGCCTCCAGAAGCAAATGCAAAATGTTCTGCTCGGCATTCAGAGCCCTCCATAACCTGCCTTCTCCTCCCTTTCCAGCCTTCTTATATCTTCTTCCCTACTACGTCCTCTTCAATGTAGTGACCCTGGCCTTCTGGCCGTTCCATGAACAAGACCCTCCAATCTCTCTGCTCTGGCCATTCTCTCTGGCCGTCCCCCAGGCCTGGAATGCTTTCCCTCCTCCAATAAGGAAACCTCCCTGGCTTCCTTCAAGTTCCAACTAAAGTCTCATCTATAGGAAGCCTTTCCCAACTCCTCTTAATTCTGATGCCTTCTCTCTTTTAATTACTTTCTATTTATCCTGTTTGTAGAGATGTATTTGCTTCCTATCTCCCCATTCGATTGGGAACCCCTTGAGGGTAGGGACTGACTTTTACCTTTTTGTAACCCCAGAACCTTAGCCTGTCAAAGACATTATTATCCTTCAAGTTACAGAGGTTTTCAAACCAGTTGTCACCCTTGACTCCTCACTCTCACTCACCCTATATATACAATCAGGTGCCAAATTTTGTCTAGCTGCCACAACCCACTCAGACAACCACCACTCTATCTTGGGGCCTCCTCACCTCTTGCCTGGACTGCTGCCATAGCCTTCACTGGCAGACCCTCTCTCTAAATCACAGAATTTGAGTTGGAAAGGATCTCAAAGGTCACCCACTCTAACTCACACAACAACCTGGTCTAGGTTATAAAGGTATCTCCATTATACTTTATAACAGTTCGTGGTCCCCACTCCAATACATTCTCCACATAGTGGCTGAAAGGATTCTCCTAACATACACATCTAATCATGTCACTTTTCCAAGTGGACCCCTAGAGGTCCCTGAGTTCAAAACCATCTTCAAAATAATTCTAAGATGCTATTTGCCTACTAAAATACTCCTTCCTTTTCCAACTATCTGGGTGAGGCTGGATTTTCTTCATATACATCAAATAACATCAAAACTGACTAAATACAAAAGCAACATAAAAATCATTCTATCTTCTATTAAGCTAGATGTTAAAGAGATTTGCAAAAATATGTAAAACAATGCCACTCCTCTGACTTTTTTTGGAGGGGAGGGGGTTTGGAAAATATAATTTTTAATTTGTTGTTCAGTCCTGTCCAACTCTTAGTGACCCCATTGGGGGTTTTCTCAGTAGGGATACTGGAGTGGTTTGCCATTTCCTTCTTCAGCTTATTTTATTGATGAAGAAACGGAGACAAACAGGATGAAGTGACTTGCCCAGGGTCACTCACACAGCTAGTAAGTGTCTGAGGCTGGATTTCAACTCAGGAAGATGTGTCTTCCTGACTTCAGGCCCAGCACTCTATCCACTTGGCCACCTCGTTTATTATTACTTAATAATTTTTAAAAATTTATCATTTTAATTTCGAATATAGTAAATACCTAAATTAGGTAGTTGAAATATCCCTAGATTAATTCACAGAGTAAGCAAAATCTCTTCGGGGTCCTCAAGGTTTAAGCATGTAAAGGGGTCCTTATTAACTTTAAGATCATAAAATAGTCACAAGACCAAAACATTTGAGAACTGCTGATCCATAGGATCAAATACAAACTAATTTGCCTAACAATTAAAGTCCTTCACAACCTGGTCCCAACCTTTTCCATCCTCTGTATCATTCTTCCACAGGTCAGCCCAGCTGGCCTATGTGCTGTTTCTGACACACTTCATTCCGTTTTTCCATGTCTGTGCAATTACTCCATGCAGAGAGTACACTCCCCTCCATCTCTGTCTCTCGGAATCCCAATTTTATTTCAAAGCGCACTCAAACACAGCAGGAGGCTCTTCCTTGTCCTCTCAGGCACCTCACCTAAAAAATTTACTGTGTTTACCTTCTATTTTGAAATATACTTAGGCAGGACCCTGTTGTCTCCACACCTGGAGGACAGGGTCTATTTCATTTCTGGGCTAGTACCCCCGAGTCCAGCACAGTGACTGAAACACAGCAGGGAGAACTTAATTCATGATCATCTATCATGAAAAGGCTGTATAAATGGAATGTCTCAGAAATGTTTGGTGTTAGTATGCTTCATTGTATCCAAAAAGATGTTCTTAAAAAATTAGGTGATCCAGAAAAAGAACTGCTGGAGTGTGAACGCAGATTGAAGCACACTATTTTCACTTTCTTTGCTTTTGTTCTGTTTTTTTCTTTCACAACATGACTAATGTGAAAATATAACATATAAAAAAAAAAGAATGTTGAAAGTTGTCTTTACATATAATTGGAAGAAATAAAATACTATTAATAGAAAATAGAAAAAAGAGTTGAGTGAAAAGTCAATTTTTATAACTCTAGTCTTAAATGTATTTTTCCATAGACAGATATTTAATTATTACCTAATATTCTAGAATGGTGCCAAAGGACCTGAGCCCTAATGTACTTCCTACCTGCATGGCCTTTAGCAAATTATTTCTCTGGTGTGGGTTTCAGTCAACAAACATTTGTTAAGTGTTTACTATGCGTCAGGCACTCTGCTTTGTGCTGTTTCTTCATCTAAAAAGAAAGGGTAGGACTGCATCTGGGATGCTTAAACATTTTTGTGTCATGGACCCCCTGGGCAGTCTGTTGAAAGTCATAGACCCCTTCTCAGAACAATGCTTCTAAATGCATAAAATACATAGGTTTGTGGGCAGTTAGGTGGCGCAGTGGATACAGCACCGGCCCTGAAGTCAGGAGTACCTCAGTTCAAATCCAGCCTCAGACCAAACATTTGACACTTACTAGCTGTGTGACCTTGGGCAAGTCACTTAACCCCAACTGCCTAAAAAAAAAAAAAATACACAGGATTGCAAAGCAGACCAATTTTATTGAAATAGAAACTCAACCTTTTTCCCCCTCCAAGTTCACAGACCCCCAAGAATTCAGTCTAGTAACCCTTACAGCTTGCGCTTACTTATCACCTTAAAGTTTGCAAAAGCACTTTGGTGGCCCAGTGTCACGAAGTCCCAAGTTCCAATGCAGCTTCTGACACTCACTAGCTGCGTGACCCTGGGCAAGACACTTAACCCGTCTGCCTCAGTTTCCTCATCTGTTAAGTGCAAAATGACAACACCCAGGCCTGTGGTGAGGTTCCGATGAGACGGCATTTATACATCGCCTAGCACTGGGTCTGGCACATAGTAGGCATACAGAAGTTGTCCCGGGACGCGGTCCGAGCTCCTTTGGCCGCCCCGATCCCCGACCTCCCACGAGCACACAGACTGCACCCCGCGGGAGGGGGTCAACGTAAGCCCTGGGGGGCCACCCGCTCCTGCAGCACCCGTGCCAGCATTCGCACCCGGCTCCCGAGGGGGGGCCGCGCGGGCGGCCTGGCGGGCTTGGAAAGGAAAGTGAAAGCGCTGCCCGGGAGATGTCCCGGCCGCCTGCGATCGCGACCCCGGCCCCGGCCCCGGCCCCGACTCCCGCCTCGAGCCCCGAGCCCGGCCCCGGCCCCCGCGGTCTCGGGACCCAGGCCTGACGGGGCTCACGGTGACTCGGCACAGCCGCCCCCGCGCCGGCTCCGGTCCAGGTCCCGGTCCCGGCCCCCGCCCCAGCTCCGGCTCCGGCTCCCCAGGCAGCCTCGCGTCCCTGGCTCCCGGCCGCCAGTGGGCCGGCCGCCTCCGGCCCTCACCGGCCTGGTCAGTTCGGCCCTACCTGAAGGTGGTCAGCGAGAAGCTGTAGCCGCGCTCCGCCATCTTCCCCCGCTGCAGCCGGACCGAGGCGCTGCGCCTGCGCACGACGCCCCGGCCCGGCCCCGCTTCCGCCCGCGCGCCGGCTCTTCATTGGTGGCCTTCGGGGCGGTCGCAAGGCACGCCGGGACACGTAGTCCGCGAGGAGAGTGGGCGGGGAAAAAGAAGGCCTCGCCTTCCCAAGTCCCCGCGCGCGGGCCCTCCGGCAGGAAGCCAAGCCTCCGTCGCTGTCCGGCGCGCTCGCTGTTTGCCTCCTTTCTCGCGGCGGCCATGGCCCTGGCCTTGGCGTGCCTGCGGGTGACCCTGCCCTCGTGGCCGGCGGCTGCCGCGCGCCTGCTACAGAACTGCTGGGCCCGGGTGGAGAAGACGCTTCCCTCGGACCTTTCTGCCGGCTTCCCCGACCCTTCCTGGGGTAGGTCCTGGTGAGGAAACCGGGGAGGCGGCGCCGGGGACGCGCTCGTCGCACGGGCTGGGGACGCGCACGTAAGCGAGCGCGGGCGAGGGCGCGCGACGCAGAGTCGCGTGGGTCTCAACGCACGCGCAGAAGCGGAAAGCGGTGCGGGCGAAGGGGGGGGAGAGCACGAGGGTGCGCGCGGGGCATGCATTTCTTCTTCCGTCCTCGCCCGACCTTCTTCCCAGAGGTCTCTGCGGCACAGTGGCCGGAGCAGGCCGGGAGCCCACGTGGGCCGCTGACCCCAATTGTCTAATGACTGCCCTGGGGGACGTGCTTGGAGCCCCAGGATTCCCATTTAACTGCGCAGGACACTGAGGCGCCCTGCCCAGAGTCGTGTCATTTAAATCAGGCCCCGCCTCCCGATCGGTTTCTTCCCTTTTCCTGACCTTTGAACCGTACAAGGTCATTGGCAGCAGCATTCCGTCCATTTCTGCCTCGGCCTGGCAGGACCCGGAGCAGGGGGGACAAGACCCTCTGAGAAAAAAAAGACGACCGACCCCCAAGCATTTCCTAGGGTGGGGGATGGGTGCCTGACACTCAGGAAGGCGCTGCTTCCGACAGTGGCCCTGGGGAGAGCCTTGAATGACGGGGCGAGTGTGCTCACTAAGGACTGCCCCTTCCCGATCGGGAGCGCCCCAGGCTTGGCCCCCGCGGCCGGTTTGGGTTCTAACCTTGTTCTAACTCGGGGTCGGGGGCTGCACCGAAACCCCTCGGCCCCGGGCTGTGTCGGCCGGACCTTTACCGTGGGCCCCGGTGATCCCCGAAATGCGGGCCGCACCCCAGCTGCCCGGGAGGCTTTGTCACTTCTGTGTCTGCGTCTGACCCGTGTCTTCACCGCCCTGCCCAGCCCGGCCTCCCACCCGCGCACCCCCCCGGGCTGCTGCTTTGTCCCGAGCCCTCCCCGCTGAGAGCCTCTGTGTACGCTCTGCAGCGATTCCCGAGGCCAGTTAGCATCCCGTCTCTCCAGAGATCTCTGTACAGCTTGAAGCTCCTGAACCGCCTGCCCAACGTAAAGGCCGTAGGGAGACTTGGAAAGAGAACTGGGCCCGGAGACGAGACTTGGGGTGCAATCCCACCCTCCAACACTTACTAGCCCTGTTTGCCTCAGTTTCCTCATCTGTAAAATGTAGGTAATAATAGCAGGGGGCCGGGTTGTTGCATAAAGTGATAAGTATAGCCCTTCCGTTCATGAAGTTGTTCCTGATACCCCTCCTCAGATGGTCTCTTCCTTGAGAGAGAGAGAGTGTGAGTGTGTGGGGGGGGGGGCTGCTTTGTGTTCTGGTGCCTGGGCCTCAGTTTCCCTATCTGTTGAGTGAGAGTTGGAAAGGCTGGTCTCTGAATTCCCCTCCAGTTCTGAATCCTGTGACTGCTTCCACTGGAATCCTGCAGTATAGTAAAATAAAATACTCCGGGATATCATTCCAGCAAAACATGCTTTCTTTGGAACTGGCAGCCCTGTCACATCCCACCTCACATCACATTGTGTTTTCTGAGCCAGTTAATGGAGGTCCCCAATTTCATCAGTACTGCCCTGGCAGGAAATTCACTCCAAATGGACCAAGTGTTGTGGGCCTCTGGTCCCTGTGCTCATACATGGGGGTCTGTGATCTCACTGATGTGCCACCTTCCAGAGGTCACTTGGTGCCACATGGTCACACCCCCATCCTCTGCCCCTCCAGCAGAGAGCCCTTGCTCTCCCGGCCAGCCTCCACCCATTAGTTCCAGTTATTCGTCATTGTGATTCTTCTTCCAGGACGGTGCTGAATGGGGGTTTGCAGGCCCATAGAGAGCATTGCTTGAGAGGGGCTAAATGATTTCCAAAATGGCTCCTGCCTCAGTTCCTCTTGGTGTCTTCTTAGCCCAGCTGGGTCTGTTGGTGGGGTTTACTTTAACAGACAAGACTTGCCTGCTTTTTTGGGTTTAGCTTTTCTTCTAGTGCAGACCTGACAGCAGATTCCAACCCATTTCCAACTTGTACTGTACTCTGGGGGCGAATGTCAGCAGAGTCATCTTGTATCCTGAAGGGTAATGACGTGTCTGCATGAATCGGCATCATTGAGCCTGAGATGGTCGCTGACGGGTTGTCAGTGAATGAAGCCTGTGTTGTGCTCTTCCTAGGACCAGCAGTGGCGGTGCAGGGCCCAGCTGCCCTCCTATGGCTGACGCCAGAAGCCAGCACTGGCGAGGAGACTCCTGGCTTTTTAGATGGAGTTGTTTGGATGGCGGCCCCCAAAAACAGACGGACGATTGAAGTTAATCGATGTAGGAGAAGAAACCCCCAGAAGATAATTAAAGTGAAGGTAAAAAAATGACTTCAGGTGTATGTTTTTCCCTCCCCTGAGACTGTGTAGCCTGTGAATGTATTACCATGAAGAGGTTAGAGGAGCTTGGCAGTTCTGGTAGATGATGCTTTCGTCTGATGACAAAAGGTGTTTAGGGTGGGCTGTGAATTCTCTAAATTTGTTTTGAAAACCCTCCAGAATGCTGTGCCAGCATGAAAGATGAAATAGAGTGCCCGCAAATGCCCGCGCACCAGAGCTGGAGGGCAGCCATCTGGCCTGGCCCTCTCCTGGATGACGGGGTCACTCGGCCCCTGCGTGAAGCCCTTCGTGGAGGGAGGGTGGGACGGGTTGGTGGGAAACGGGCCTTTCCAAGAGTCTGCCTCTGGTACCTGGGAGCAGTCTCTCAGAGAGTTGCCTTCTTGGCCAAGGAGAACAAGCTCAGGCACTTGAGGGCGGGGCTCTTGGCCCCCACCCCCCCCCAGCTCACTGATGTTTGTCCTCACTTGAGGCTCTCAGACCTGAATTCTAGATGTGGTGGCAGCCTCCAGCAAGGTTATCACTGCCCTGTCCCTGGAAACCGTGACTCACAAAGCGTCTGGCCACACGCGCTCACTTGGTGGCCGTCTAGCTCACACTGCTCTAAAACCTCCGGCCACGCATGTGGTTAAGATGTCCCGAGGTCTCTGACGGTCAGATTTTATTCATCATCCCAGTGGGACGCAGGGTCCTGAACAGCCTGCCGAAGGGGTCTGCAAGCAGAGCGCGGGCCCCAAATGAGTCTGGAACGGAGCTGGCCTTGCTACCCACATCTGTCTGCTGGCTGTGGGAGATGTCCCCGAGCTGCCGAAATTATTTGGAGGCAGGAGAGCACTTCCTGCTCCGCTCCTTGCTTTTTCTCTTCTCGAAGCGATCTGTCCGGTCCGCAAAAGGTCATAGACTCTCTGCCTCCCAGCCCCAAGAAACAGTCAGCCGTAGACTTCCTGTCTCTTAGCCAGGACAGGGAAGAGGGAAGAAATGAACCCTGCTTGTGCCTGTGGCCCTTCTCTCCAGCCCCAGCTCCAACCCTTCCCAGGGCCCCACTCATCAGCTTTGAGAGCCCTTTGTCACCTGGCCCTGTCTCCCTCCACGTGCTTTGAGATCCAAGGCCCCTGGCCTCCTGGGTGTTCATAAGCAAGACCCTTTTCCTTGAGGCCAAACGCTTGCCCTGGCCCTGCCCCGACCTGGAAGTTCTCTCCTCATCTGCTCATCTCCACATCTCCACATCTCCTCATCTCCTCATCTCCACATCTCCTCATCTCCACATCTCCTCATCTCCTCATCTCCACATCTCCACATCTCCTCATCTCCACATCTCCTCATCTCCTCATCTCCTCATCTCCTCATCTCCACATTTCCACATCTCCACGTCCGGGCTTCCTTCAGCTCTCGGCTTCTGCTGCCTCCCCCCAGCTGATCCATCTGTATCTTGTTTGCATGTTGTCTCCCCCATGAGACGACGAGCTCCCCCAGGGCAGAGCCTGGTGTGCCTTCCTTGGTTCCTCCAGCCCTTGGTGCACTGCCTGGCACATAGTAGGGCACTTGGTGCAAGCTGGACGACTGATGGATGTACCGTCTAGTTAGCAAGAGAGAGAAATCGTGTGCCAGGCCATTCATTTCTCTCCCCGGTTTGTGCTCAGAAATAATGTCATCTGCTGCGCTGTCAGTACTATGAGTAAGTGAATTGTTGGAAGTATTTGGAATTTACTATATTTAGATTCTGACAGACCATATACACATTCTGTCCTCCATACCACTGCCCCTGAACTTGTGAGTGCTATGAAATGCCATGTTCCTTAAAGTGCAGTTTTTTAATCATTTCTTTCTGGTTTGTTTGGGTTTCTTTTCTCTCTCTCTCTCGCTCTCTCTTTTTTTTTTTAGAATAATATAGATGTATGTCCTGAATGTGGCCATCTGAAACAAAAGCATGTCCTTTGTGGTTATTGCTACAAGAAAGTTCGTGAGGAGACTGTGCAAATCAGGAGGCAAATAGGGAAGCAGGAAGGGGGACCTTTTAAGGCCCCCACTGTTGAGACTGTGGTGTTATACCAAGGAGAAGTTCCCTCAGCAGAAGATCAAGGCAAGAGAATCATCGAGCGAGACAGGAAGCGACCATCCTGGTTCGTCAGGGATTGATGCTGCAGAGGTGTTCAAAGAGGATCCTTCTACATTAAAACATCACTCCGGGAGCTTGGGCCGTTTGGTTTCTTTTTCCTTCTTTCTATGTGGGATTCCAGGCAATCCTCTCAAGAGGCAGCATGGCCTGGTGGGTAGGGCATTGGGCTGGAAGTCAGGAAAACCCAGGTTCAGACTCCACCTCAGGTGACTCCGGCAAGTCACCCAAATGCTGCACCTCAGTTTCTTCTTCTGTAAAATTAAGAGATTGGGCTCAGTAACTTTCTAGGGTTCTTTCCAGCTCCAACCCCTGGAATCGCTTCTGTTGCTAAATAGGACGTGATCTGAGCGCAGAACCGACGACCCACGTCAGGAAATGCTGATGCTTGCAAGTGTCCGCCATCTTTGGGGGGAAATGTTATTTTGCTGACTATAACTTAGATGGTTTTAAAATTAGTGTGAAATGGGGAAATTCGAATTTTGTTAGGAATTCTCTTGGAGCTTCAGTTACTTTTACACAATAAAGCCTGTGTCTTCACCCAACTAGAGAATAGTCTGATGAGCTCAGCCCTGCAGGTGTGGATCAGATTTGCTGCGAGGTCTGGCTTCTTACTCAGGGTGCAGTCCATCACCTCCAGCAGCCTCCGATACTTGAGAACTGTCTCAGGACGGTCACCTGGGATTTCACCGATCCATTCCTTGCTGAAAAAATATCCCTGAGGGCTGCAGCTCCTGCGTTTGGAGAAATAACATGTGCCAAATAGGATAGTGTCTGTCTGGCTTTGGAGCCAGGGGCCTAGGCCACTGACCTCATCTTACACAGAAGCAAATGGGTTTGGAGATTTTAAGGAATGTGGCAAGGTCACTAAGTAGTGTCAGGTGAAATTTGAACCCAGGCCCTTGGACCCACCACACTGCACTCCTGCTGCCTCGTGGAAGATGGGGAATTCTATAGAAAAGATTCGTTTAGATTTCAGCTTTGGGTGAAGTATGTGATGTATTTTTTGGAAAATGTGCTGAGGAGTGGCCTGAATGATAGTACAGTTGGGTGGATTTCCATAATATGGATAAATCATAGTTGGCATATCATTATGTGGTGCTTGGAAGGTTTGCCAAGTGCTTTCCTGCATCTTGTCTTACCTTCACAACAACCATGTTAAGTAGGTGCTGTTATTACCCCCATCTTACAGGTGGATAAACTGAGGAAGGAAGGCTAAGTGATTTGCCCAGCATCACACAGCCAGTATGTGAGAGAGGATTTGAACTCAGTTCTTCTTGACTCCAGGTCCAGCACTATCCATTGGACCACCCAGGTGCCTACAAAGCCATGAAGGAAGCATAAAGGTAGAGGCGGCATCTTTATCCAATTTGCAGATGCCACGAAGCTAGGGAAAGATGGCTGACAAGACCCTGGGTGCCAAGATCAGAAGGATCTCAACAAGTTGGAAGGTTGGGCTGGAGCTAATAATAGCAACAGGAAATGAAATAGAGAGAAATGTGGCATCTTACACTTCGCTTCAAAAAACTGACAAATAAATCAGTGAAGGTATTTATTAAACACTTACTGTGTGCCAGTCATTATAAGAAGGGGAGGCATTATCAGCTGTCTAGAGATCTGGGGATTTTAGAAGACTGTAAACTCTGAGTCAATAAGGCAGCCCAAGCAGCAGCCCCATTTTGGAGTACCATAAGGGCGCCATCCCTTCCAGGAATAAGGAAGAGACAGTCCCTCGGTCCTCACACTTTGTCAGGTCAGATCCAGAAAACTGAGTTCAGGGCAGTGAGTCCATGGCAGAAGGGGGTTGGGGCAAAGAACTGGTCATTTCAGAGAGAAGCAGAAGACGTGTTGATTGTCTTCAGGCTCTCGTGGGGGAGGGATAGACATTCTGTCAGCACCCCAGATCAGAAGAGAAATAGCCAATGGGTAAATTGAGGCTTGAGGTCAGGAAAATGCCCCAACAGCTAGAGCTACCTCCAACTGAAAGGAGTCAGGGAAAGCTTGGTGAACCCCATGACTGCTGAGCCCCATGGACATCTCATCCGCTGGCTCGTACAGTGGGGATGCTTTGGGGGGCACACTTTGGTTTTCATGTCCATATCCAACCAAAACTAAAGCATGGTTTGTGTAACGGGGTTTGCATTTTGGGTCAACGAAAATTCCTCCTCTATAGTAGATAAAGGGCTTCCATGCATTCACTGACACAGACACTGGCCCCAGAGTTACCACAGTCTTCATCAGAATTTCTTCATTTCCAAAGGGGAGGACTACATGTTTTTTGATTTTAACAACTGCACATTCCTTGTTATAAGAGCACTTCTTATTTTTCTTGGCCACATAAGGGTAGCACTTCTCAGACACTAAGCCCTTATTTTTTTTGATATAGATGAAAGCACCAATGGCACTCCCCCGCCCCTCCCACCCCCCCTACCCCCCCCCCCCACAGCCTTGGAATCTGGAACAGTCAGTTAGGTTCTTTTTACTCAGTTCTACAAGTTTGCCTGTTTTCCAGAAGAGCTGGCCTTCTAGAGATACAGTTGCACTAAGTGCCCAGTAGGAGCCACACCTCCTTTGATTTCTAACAGGGGTCACCTAGCCAAGCTTTCTCCAGTTGATTGATTTGGGAGGATCAGAAAAATTTGAAAAAAAATTGCTTGTGGTGGTGTCTGTCCTTGGTGGCGACATCTTGGGGTTCATCATTTCCTTGAATTCTTCATCAGTCATGTCTCCAAAATCATCTCCAGGTGGTAGCTCGGCTTCCCCTCTCTATACAGGAGATTCTGATCATTAATGAACTCCAGGTTCTTCTCCCACACCTGTCTCCTAAAAGATTCCTCCTTCTTCAAATGGCCTCTATGTCCTTGGGAATTCTAAGATGCTTTAATGCAGGAGAGATCACAGGGTCATCTAATCCAATCCACACCTAAGCTGGAGTCTTCTAAAATGTCTTTGAAGAGATGTCTTTCCCTTTGAGGTCCTTGGTCCATTTAATACATGACATGGCCACCTAAACCACTTAGGGACAGCTCACCTTGGTAGGCAGTTTCTCCTTATTATAGAACCAAGATCTACACCTTCCAAGCTTTTCTCTGAAGGCTGCCTTGTACAGAAAAGTAAAGCAAGTTTGATGGCTTTCCCATATGGACGTGTACTAGAGGGCACCTATGATAGTCATAGGTTTTGCTCTTCTTGATGAGGTCTAGAGGTTTAGGGGTGCTGGGACCCCAAGATCATGACAAGCGGGTCCTGCCCAAAAGAATTCGACCCAAGCCTTCTTTCAGTCAAAGACTGGGCTTATTAAAGATCTGCTGTATTAGCCAGACTCTTAAGGAATCTGAGCATCTATGAGCTATTGGCTGGATTGTTACAATCTGAGCAGTGGCTAGATTAAAAGAATCTGAGCTGGAAGGGAGCATTTCTAAAGGCCCTCCCAGCTCAGGGTCTGAATCCAGGGCTACATTTCTGATCAGAAAGGACCAAAGGGGGATAAGGAAACCCAGAACTTTGAGGTGTCTCAGTGTTTGCTTCCCCAGGACCTCAGACATTGCAGGCACTTTTAAAAGGTTGTCGATTGGGTGCTGGACCCCTGAGAATCCCCAAAGGTTTACAGATCGTGTGGCTTACCAGGCACTATGCAACGTGCAGACTGAACATTGTTCTGCTTTCAAGGAGTTTCCAGGTAAGAGCAATAAGGTGATGGTGTCTCTCTAAATCGTATGTGGGAGGGGGGGCAGAAGGATCGTGTTCAGACAAGTTCTGTGACCTAGATTTTCCCTTGAGCTTTAGTCTCATCCATTTGCCTCCTGAGTGACACCCACGTTACACCGATGCCTCCTGCTATCCATGTGCAAAACTCAAACTCCTCCCCACCCGCCCCGTGCTAGGCCTTCCTCACAACTTCCCTCTTTCTGCTGGTGCGCTCACCGGCCAGGGAGTCAAGTGCTCTCAGGCCCTTTCACTCCCCACATCCTATGGGTTGATTCTGCCTCCGTGATCTCTCCAGCTCAGCCCATTCTCTTCCCTCGCACTGCTGCCCCTCGTGTCTTGACGATGAGTTTCCCAGTTAGTTTCCCATCTCCCCAGTCTTCGATACATCCTCCACTTACTCTTTCTAACATACGGACCAATGGGACCCCCTTACTGAAAGGGAGAGAAAGAAAAGCCTTCCATGGCTTTTACCTTTTACCTCTAGGATAAAATAGAAACTCCATAGCCGAGCGTTTAAGGCCCTCCAAGGTGGGATCCCAACCTCCTCCCCCTCTAGCCTTGTTGTTCTCCCTCAGCTTTCCTGATCAACTTCTTAGCCAGACTAGACTATGAGCCATTCCCTGAGGTTGGCAGATACCACCTCAGACGTCCTCACATTCTTGGGCTCCCGCTTCGTTGCCTCAGTCTAAATCCTCCTCCCCATCAAGGCTCAACTCGAGCTCAACCCCCCCCCCCCCAAAAAAAGAGGTATTCCTTGAGTAGTTGTCTGGATCCCCTTTTGCCCAGGTCAGACTCCCACCTTCTATTATACTTACCTGTCCACACATCATGTCCCCCATAGTAGGAGGGGAGCTCCCTGAGGGCAATTTCACCTGTTTATGTTTTAATCTTTCTATCTCCGAGTATGATAGCATACTACTTTGGATAGAGGATCAGAAAATGAGAGATTAGAGTAGGATGGAACTTGCATAGCCCAGGGCCAGCCTGGCATGTAGAAAGCACCAGTCTGGCCCCACCATTTTACACATGAAACAGGCTTAGCGAGGAGAAGCCACTTAGCCAGGAGCTTACAAGATCATGAGTGGCAGACCCTGGATGTGGATCAGGTGTTTGTTGAACTGAACTGGAGCTAAGGAAAGTATATTGGATTTTAACAAACATTTATGGAAGTCTGTGTTTATGCTTTTGTTTGGCAAGCCCATCGATGGGGCTGGCAGCTTTGTTCTTGGGTTTTAAAACAGATTCCTTCTCCCAAATTTAAGGTGTCTGCCTGAAGCTTCCAAGTGTAATGCTTCACCTGCCTCATGGTTTTCCAGATGCCAGCTCCTTGATTGCATTGGAAAGAAATGGGACAATGCATAAAGAGATTAAAAGCAGAGACCTATACAAAACACCCATTTCATACCTACAGTTTTCACTTTGAATTTGATTTTCATTTTCCACTGAGACCTTTGTATGCCAAACAGCAAGTTTCTTTGATAATGAAACCCAGAAAGTGAAATAAAATTATAATCTAAAATAAACAGTCGGAAATGGCTTGGTTCACTCTGGAACACTCTTTTCTGCCTGAATGACGTGGAGCTGAACCTTTTATGTACAGAACTAAACACTGGGAGATGAGAGGGTCTAGCCAGGGTCTAGGGAGTAATTCTGAGGTCCTAGCATCAATGCCTACTGTGTACCACTGGCTTCCAGGGGATGTAGGCAAAAGAGGCACCTGAAAGACATAATACGGAATCATTAAATTTAAAAGAACAGATCCATTTTCTCCAGGAGAGAAAGTCAAGAGGAAGAACAGAAGACTGGCTACTACTTAGCCCAGCCTTGAAGACCCCAGTGTCTGGCACAAAGGAGGCATTTAATGCATGCTCGCTGGATTAGATGAGTGGGCCGTCACTGCCCTCAAGGTGCTATGTGAGGCTGGTAATGAAATCATTTCAGATACCCTGCTGCCCTGGGTCAAAAGGACATCGTCATCATCATAGTTGTCATTTTTTGCATGTGGTCATTGCAGGTTAGGATGCAAAACTAAGCATTACTTAATAATGCCTCACTATATCCTCAATGTATGGTTAAAAAAATTTTACCCTATTCTGACATTAAGTATTTTTATAAAAGGCACTATTTTCAAGGGATATAAGTGCAAGATTATATAAGAGTTCACCACGTTACCAAATTAGGATTGCCTTGAAGATGGAGCAATCAAAGATGATATGCATTTTGTTCTTAAGGCTTGTCATAACTGGGTCAACTGGAGTCCAACTGTTTAAGGAGAGGAATGTCTTTAAAAGTGAAAATTATCTTTACTCAAAGTGTTTGGGATAATTCTATAATGGGCCCATGAGGTTTTTATCTTCTGGCTGTGGGAGAGTAATCTCTATAAGAAAATAGATGAAAGAATGTCAAGTTTGAATAGTAAAGTTAACTCAATCTTGATCATTGTACAATGTTGCTGCTACTATGTACATTGTTCTCCTGGTTCTACCATACAACTTTTGATAAAAATGATAGCTTTTTTTTTCCTTTCATTGTCTTCCTTCCGCTCTCCCTTCTTTCCCTCCTTCCTTTTTTTCATTCCAGTCAGATGACTTCTTTCTTTTCTTCCTTCCTTCCTTTCCTTCCTCCCTCCCTTCCTCCTTCCTTTTATTTTGTGTGTATATGTCTGAGCCAAGTTTTACTTTTTAAAAAATTTTTTTTGCCAATTATATGCAAACATTTTAAATTCTTTTTTTTAATCTTAAGTTCCAAATTCTCTCCCTCCTTCTTCTCTCCCCTCATTGAAAAGGCAAGCAATTTGATATAGGTTATACATGTTCAATCACATAAAACATTTCTGTATTAGACATGTAAAAGA